AATTTTATGGATGTTATATAAAAAGAATTGTTTCCAGTCTCATTGTTAGATCCTGCCTTGATATTCCAAACTTTAGAGTCAACTCACGACAGAGAAAGAACAAATATGATCATTAAAAAGATGGATCAATAGAGAACATCAATGTAATTATCAATGAAGAGTGTTAATGAAGAGTATTAATAGAAAGCATAGATGGAATAGTTTATGGCTTTTGTCGATGCAACCTGAAAAATTAAAGAAGGTTGGCTATGTTAGTGGCATACAACTAAATGGTGGAATTATCAAAGATGATCGGGTTAGAGATGATGGAGGCAAGAATTTAAAGAAGAAAAGTTGATAGAGGATAGCCAATGGAGATGGGAAATTTAAAGAGTACATCATTGGTAGAAAAATATTTTGAAAAGATAAGAAGAATCATAAGTCACCGCTCTGATAAAATGTTAAAAGAGGGAGAGTTATAAAAGGCACATCTTTACTTAATTATCTTCATAGTATGGGCATATAGGTGCCTATTATAAGCAAAAAAAAGAAAATAAAAAAATAAAAAAAACAACATAGGAGAATATTCTTAATAATGACAAAATGCAACAATAATAAATAGTGTAATCTGCATTATAAAAAGTTAATACCTGAGATAATTTAAATATTGTAATAAAAAAAAAAGGCAAAGTGGACTTTCACTGTCTGTTTGACTACATGTGAAATTTTGCTCTTAAATTTAGCAAAGAGCTTCTCTCATTCTGGGTTTAAATTCACCTTAGCAAAATTTTCATCCATGCTTATGATAAGGTTTCCATAATGAATATTCCCAGACGTTTGTAGCAAAATAAAGACTATATAATTGGAATATGATGAAACAATGCACAAATGTTTGATTGGCCTTTAATTTGGAGTAATCTTTTACTAGAAACTGACATGCAATAGATTGATGTAACTTGAGCTTTTAGCCTTAGAAATGGCTGTATACTGTAAAGATTATTCCTTAAACTTATTAGTAGGAATATCAGAAAAGGGAGTTCTAAACAACTTTTTATCTAATGTTCTCCTTCTCCTGTTTCGCAAACGGTCTTATAGTATCCTCATGCAAACACTGTAAAGCATGAGATGCTTGATTTTACTTTTTTCCCAAGAATAATGAAGTGCTGGAGATGGATCCATATATGAATTACGCTTTCTGAGTTGTCTTCTCTTAAAAAAAATAATAAAATAAAAAATTTAAAACATTAAATGTTTGCTAGGTCTGTGCAAACGACATGGCTATAATTTTTTTCTTCCATAGTAGGCATAAATTCGAACAAGCACTCAAGCATCACTGGAAACATAAATCACTTGACTGAATGAAATAGATGAGCATGTGTAAGATGGAAATCAAAAAAATGTCTCATAAACAATCAGAAATATTAGGTTTAATTAGAAATCAACTGTACTTTAAATATGATTTAGTTATGATAGATTGAAAAAGAAAAATATCTCTCAGCCTTTGCATGCCCTTTTAACAAGCTGACAACGTAGAAAACAAATCAACCCTTTCATTCAGTTTAGAAAAGAAAGCTCTTCACTTTGAATGTTAGACTTTCCTATTTCCTATTTCAAATGTTCCATAAATGGCATTTACTTGGAAGGGTTTGCTCCAAACATACATACTCGGATTACAAAACAGATTATGTTGCTTAAAATTTATATTAGGTTTTTGTCTTACGAATTGCATTACACTTCACATCTCAACTTTCTCTTTTGTACCTTTTCTTTTTTCCTTTTTTGCATTTTTACTTCTAACATGATGTTAACATGGACACAATACATGATTCAAAAAAATGGAGCAAGTAACTGATTTGCTAACTCACGCATTAACGACCTCAATGACGATATCATTATCATCAAACTTATCACAACCATTTGATGTGTACTTCTGGAACCTTCTTCAACATTCATTTCAGAGACAGGTTCAAAGTACTTTGTGATATATCCTGATGCTAAACATTTAGTTCTGCCCTATCCTTTTGCTTCTCATCCCTTTCCACTACCTCTAACTCACTTTTTACAGGAGCCAAACTTCTTCTATCCATATTTTATAAATAAAGCATCATAATTTGTATGATAGATTACTATTTCCAATCATGCACTTTTAATATTACCTCTTAAGTTGGAGCATATACATTAATTAGCTCCAGCTTGCTACATAATTCAATAACTAAAATGATCGTAGAGGCTTAGTAAATATATTTGTAGTTGTTCTGAGCTAAGAGCATGAGTAACACTTTTTTTGATAGCACCACGTCTCTAACATAATGACAATAAATTCAATGTGTTTAATTCTTTAATGAAACAAATGATTCACTAACAAGAGAGATAGCATCATTGCCACAATTAAAAATCATAGGTTGAACAATTGAAAAATTTAATTCAACCAAGACTGTTAACTATCATCATTTCACGCGTAGAGTATATTATTGCTCTATAGTATGCCTCAGTGCTTGATTTAGTCGTTACTATTAATTTTAGTTCTTCCATGTGACCAAGCTGCCTCTCAAGCTTTCTATAATCCATGTACCCAATTAGTTTAAATATTAGAAAACCTTCTATATTAAGATATTCATTATTTGTGCATAGGGGTTCTTTTCTAGGTTTATTTTTATGTATTTGAGCATATGTAGAATGGCTTTCTGATTTTACCATATTAGAGTTTGCATGTGTTGCTTCACGACCCTACAGCTAACAAAAAACATTCAGTCTAGTAAGAATAAGATGATCAATTTTCCATTACCCTGACAATAACGAGAGATATCTTCAAGCATTTTCTTTTCATTTGTAATTTTCTACGTATCATAATCTTATATTTGTCAATATGAACGTCTAGGTTTGCAACCTCACAGACAAGTTTTTTTCAAAGGACAGTGGCACATACATACTTTGTGACAAAGAAACTCCTTTTGTTATAGCAAGCTTTAGTCCCAAGAAGTATTTAGGATGACCCAAATCATTAATCATAAAACATGTTAATATGTAGCAGTTTATTTAAGTAGCTTCATTTTGATCACTCTCACAAAAACGATGGCATCAACAAAGTGCTAAAATAAAATAGCTACAAGAATTATGTTCTAATGAAGCTGAAATGAACTGCTGTACCAGTCTCAATAAGAACTTTGCAAAATTTATCGAACCAAGCTTAAGAGCTTTGCTTAATCTATGCATGCCTGGTTGAGTATGCATATTATGATCTCCCCCTAAGCAAAATACCTCAGCAATCGCTACACATACACAAATTCAACAAGATCTCCAAAAAAAAAAGTACTACTTAAATCTAGTTGTAGCAAAGGCTCGTCTTGATTAATAACAATAGAAAAAAATAATATGGATGGAATTGAACTAAGCATTTTGAAAGAATAAATAAAAATAGTCAATACCATAAACTTTAGTAAAGCCTTTGGAAATTTGGATGTCCTTGTATCGATAACGGAGCCTTAAGAATGAAACTTTATGACCCATCAACATGAGACTACTTTAATTATAAAAAGACCATATATGCTGATTAAGCAAAGTAATAATTTCAATATTCATAGCATTTTTCCATCGAATATCTTGCAATGCCTCCTAATGTCCTAGGAATAAGAATATATGACAAGGAGATAGAAAAACATCAATGCATAAAGAATAGAATGTCAAATGATGAATATTTGCATAAGGTGATCAATACAGTGTCTTTTAATTTTTTAAAAGGTTGTGGCACGCATAGAACAGAAAAATCTTTAGAAAGGGGATGCTTAGCCAATTTTGACAATGGAGGTGTTGTTGATGATGGGAGAGACTGCCATGTGTAAACCTAATAAGGATGAAGAAATGGGTATAGATGTTCTAAGAGGAGGAGCAACAAGAAAAGATGATTTGTTATAATAATATTTAGAGAAGTAGAGAGAGGACGCATAAAAGAAGACATTTCCAATGTATAAACATGTCTGGTGGTGAAATCATAGCAATGATAGCCTTTCTCGAAAGGAGAGCATCCCAGAAAGATAAACTGAATGGCCTAAGAAGAGAATTCGTCACTAGTTTGAAAAAAATGGGTAAAACAATGGCAGCTAAAAACTAAAGGTGTGAAAAAATAATAGAAGATTATCAAAGAAACATAATAGAGAAGGAGGTGACATTCCCAAGGAAAATGTGAAAATGGGGTGGGATCTAAATAATAAAATAGCATGCATTCAAAATTACTTCACAATAGAATTGATGTGGAATATTCATGTGAAACCTAAATGTCCTATTAAACATGATGATACTTGCGTTAAAAACCCCATTCAGTTGAGATATTTAAGGACGCTAAGAATGATCGCATTATCAGAACTGAATGAACTAAATTGAATTTGCATAAATTCTAAAACAATATCAGAAAGAAGATTCATAATCATAATAGAAATGTACTTCATAGTTCGTGCAAAATATAAAAAAATAATTTAAATAACACCTAAATCAATATAGTCGTGGCCCAAAAATGATCATCAATAAAATAAGTATTTAAAGTCTAGAGTAAGGAAACTTATTTGGCACAAAATTTATCATTATGAAATAAGTAATTAAAATCTAGGTGGGTAAGGGCAAGATTTAAACCCCAAATATCCGCATGAACTCAAGTCAAACAATACTATGGCTTGAAGCGGAAGACAGAGAATAAATTCAATGATGTTTATTGAGCCCAATAACATTATATTCAATTATACTTTGGTTCTATTAGACGTTCATTATATCAATGTCTCTTTGCTGCGCTCAAAACACACTCAAAAGATGAAGCTAGAATTACGCATCAGTCTCTATTTTCTTTTGTCATTTGCAGTTCATCCCACGGAAAACCTAAAGTAACAGTCAACTCAACCCAATTTAACAGTAAATAATTAATATAAATTAGAAAGCTCCAAAAAGATAATAAACTGGTTAAATGTTCAAGATCTCCAGAATTTTGGAGCAAGCCCATTTAAAGAGAGGTAAGACCAAAAGAAACTAGTTCTTACTCATGGTTAGAAGAAAGTGTTGGGGTAAGTGAATCCTCTGTGACTTTGTTTTCAGTTGTAAGCTCGCTCTCAGCACCCATAAAAAAATGCCTGCTGTGAAAGTCATGAACAAATGAAATGTTAACCGCATAATAGACTGAATGACTAATGCTAGTGGAAAGTTAACATGAAAATTTCTAAATTTTTTTCCTGAAAAATTCTAAGCTTGCATTAAAGCAGGTCGACATTTCCAAATTATTTTAGGAAGTTTGCTTATAATTAATAAAGTATGCAAAAAATTTACTCCCTTGGACGGTTTTAGGATAATCCAACATGACATTATTTCGATAAAACTATTACAAAAGAAACAATTCTCTAAAATACTAGAGACAATGAAAAACATCTAATTAAAGTGTTCTAAAGCTTATGGGCGATCAACAATAAGAAGGTTTCCTAACATAAAGGAAACAAGTAATGGACCAAATCACTGCAATTCTATTGACATGCTCTCTGGTTCAATAGTTAGAGATCACTAAACTGAATTTGGTCCATTACTTCTTTAACTAGATACATGGAATGTTATGGATGCTCTTACTGGACATTTATAGGAGGATGCGCCTTGGTGCATGCTTTTCGCTAAGGATATCCTTTTTGTGGATAAGACTAGAGAAAGAGTTCAAAAAAAACTTGAATTATGGAGGTTTACATTAGAGTCTAAAGAACTTCGTTTGATAATAATAAGCTGTTGCACAACAGCTGCTACAGGAAATTACTGCACAGAAGCTGTTATGGATAAGTTGGTTGTCTATTTGTTTTTTACAGTTTGAAAACAGCTGTGGTGCAATTGTTCCTGAAAAAATGACAATTATGCCCCTGTATAGTGTTGTTGTTTTCCACATAACTTTTCATACAAATACATTTTATACTTTAAAAGAAAATATTCAGTGCATAACATTCCCAAATAAAGATACACACCTGAAGCATAAGCATTTGTCAAATCAAAAATCCCATCTATTGCACATGGGATCCCCAAAAATCCCAAAATCCAACTTTAACTGAGAAGCAATGAAGCATAAGCACTAGCCAAATAAAAAATCACAAAATTCTCGAGCACAGAGAACCACGCCAACACAAAGAGGAATCACTGCACAAAGGAACCCGCGGTGGGCACAAAGGCAAAAAAACCAAAAGCCAAACTGTTAGGGTAAAGAAACTACTGCGCAAAGATTACCCTGCACAAATAGGAACCACTGCAGAGTGGAAACAATGAAAATATTGGATACATACACATTTCCAAAATCAAAGAGAAAGACATAGTTAAGGTAGGGATTACCCAACACGAAGAAGAGGAACCACCACACGGGTTTTTAGTCCAGAGGAATAACCGCACCGAGCACCGCACGAAGAAGCAACACCTCACACAGATCAAAAGATCCAAGCAGAATCGCAGAGGAGATAGAGGGGAGAGAGAAGAAAACTCATCGAGAGAGGCACAGCACCAACTGCGAGAATTGCGAGATAGAAGGGGGAGGAGAGGGCTGCTAGGGCAAAACGCGAGAGAGGATTACGGGAGAGGAGGGGCGGCTAGGGCAATACATGCAAGAGATATGATAGCGGGAGAGGAGGGGTAGTCGCGTCAACACTATGCAAATGAACGCGGGTCACGGGGTCGAACCGGTGGATGTGTTTCGTTCGGATTTTTCATAAAATTCTCTACGCCGTCGAAACCAAACGCGGGGAGTGTTTTCTGCCGCACTGCGGTAGAACCACTGCCCCAAACGAAGCCTCGCAGTGCTTTTTAATGAACAATGATGTTCCAAATCTGAAACTCTTAATGGGCTTAGGATATGAAAACCAAACCATATTCATAGCTTTATTATTGACAAACTAAATTTATTAGCTTCACACTCACAATCCTCACATTACAATAACATTTAATGCAACAAAAATTTGAATCGGTTCTAAATGACACAAAAAATATAAGTCTTTACAAATAAAATAATCTAAAAATACTATCGGATTTAAATGGAAATAAAAAATTGTTCGCAATTAAAAGAAAATAATTTTAAAGACGCTCTAGAAAAAATTGAGAGATCAAAATTTCATGAAGCTAATTACAACACTAAAAAAAATTGAGAGACCAAAGTTAAATGAAGCTAATTAATGAAGTTGTACCTAATTTCCTAACTAATTAATAAATTATCACATAATTTGTTTTTTTTTTCAAATTGCAATAATAGTAATGGTTATAAATAATAGATGAAAATGAGAGATGACTTGCTGGTCATGCAAATAATTCTTAAATCACCAAAACCAGCAACTTCATTAAGCTATAATGAAATATACCTAGGAAATTGTTTGTTTAAGCAGGGAAATGAGAGGGAAAAAAACTTTTATGTATAAGGGTAGCATTTCTTGAGCGGAAGACATATTAACCACAAATGATAGGATTCTCAAAATTGCTCCTCTCCATCTTTTCGTGTTTTTAGATTTTTGCAAAGATGGTTGCAACACTTAGATTTTTGTATCTTTCAGTAATTCTTCTACTCAATGAAGTGTTAAGTTCATAAAGTAAATAAAAATTTGAGACTCAAGCTTTGTTTGATATAGATTTTCCCGCACATTTCTTTGCAAAAGTAATTTTTGTTGGTGTAAATGCACTTTTAAAATCTTCAACTCACACGTATACCCTCTATACCACTTCATAAGTAAATTGAATACATACCTTGCCCAAATATGTGAAGACATCGCAATTTCATAAATCACAATAGCAACACAATTGCAACAAACAAAACTTAAACCTTAATAAATCGAAAAATTTGGCAAACAATAATAAAAAAAATCCTAACAAATAGCTCAAATGAGGAAAAATCAATTAACCTCATACTACATGTTCCTCGAAAACTCACTAGAAAGATAAAAGCTCTGTACTTATTGAATATTTTCATGGACGACCAACCCAAAAATATTTTTTTATACAAAACAACTATTCCAAAAAAGAAAAAGAGTTGCAACATATAACCAAGACTCAAATGCTAAACAATAGTGTATTCATAAGAAAATTATAACTACACGAAATAGATTTAAAATTATGATGAATAAATATTTTATAATATCAAAATATGAAGTGTCTCAAACAAGCAGGACACAACATGCATAGAATATGTGTTGAACATAGTGTCAAAATATCCTATTAATAAAACAATAAATAAATAAATAAAGAGCACATGTATTACCCATGTGTTGAAGGTAAAGTGAAAAAGTAGTAATGGAATGGAGGAATTGTGAAGAGTCAAAAATTAATAAGAAGCTTTTAATTTTGAAATAAGCACCTATAATATATATTTAATAATTAATTTATTCAAAATACCACTTTTTTATAATTTTACACACACACATATACGGATATATGTATGTATGTATAGATGCATGCATACTCATAAGAGGCTTGACTCATTTTCCAAATTGTGCGATGTTCAAAACCCATGTATGCATTGGTGCCTCATAAATCAATCTTAAGTCAAATATGTAAAAAGAAAAACTAATTAATTAGAAATAATAATGTTATTAGCAATACCACAAAGCAAGATTACCCTTCAAGAATGAATGCATGAAAACTTCTAATAAGTAAAATAAAAACCAAACACCTAATTAAAGTAAGATTTAGAATAAATCTTAATCAAATGAGTAAAGGCAAACCCTAAGAAATTACTATGTTATACACCTAAAAAAATAATGATATTTTGTGATATAAACTTGTGAACATTATATAAAATGAAAACAAAATAAGATACCTAAGTCAATAATTCAAACAAAAAAATTGTCACCAACTCTTCTATGGTAAATTGAACAATTTTGTCACGCAACAATACCTTTAGGTGATATCCCCCACAAATTCATGAAAAAAAATATCAAAAAAATAATAAAAGTTAAACATCACAATATTGTCTTATTTGGCACCATCCTATCATTAGAATGTTCAAACAGATTTTATGAACATTCTAACATACAGGATACAAAAATCTTGGATTGTCAACGCAATTATTTGGAAGAGAAGGAATGCACGACTCCCTTCACCGTAAAGGTTAATTTCTCAAAAGTATTTGGAACAAGAAGTCTGAACTCTGAACTCTGACCATTTCTACAGGAAAAAATTTAGGTAGATATCTATTCGCCCGTGAAAAAAAAAATTAGCATATTTTTTATAGTTACAATCCGATCAGATATAAAAATCTAATGTGGTTTCCTTTTCTTCTTCTTACAAGTTGGAAAAGTTAGAAGAATGCTTCATTATCCAAAGCAGTTATGGCCTTAAACAATCTATACAATCTATAAAGAGTCTTAAACAATCTATAAAGAGAATTTAAACATTTCTAGAGTGAATGTGAAATAGCTCAGAACATGATTCATGGGAGAGTAATAAAAAATAAAAGGACTATAGAGCTCTAGCATAGCCAACATCAAAATGTTTATTAGTCCCAGCGCCAGTAAGGAATTTCGTACCAGAGAATCAGCGGTATACAATGATCCAAGAATAATTGTAGTCTTATAAAACAGAAATTTCAACCTTAGTACTCGTGTTTCAACAAGCAGATTCAACTCTCAAACCTATGCTACTCCATATTACTTCAATTAAGCAACACAAAAATATCACCTCCAATGCAGGTTTCCTTACATCTCAACTAAAAATTGCATCAGTGTAATTGAACTAAAAACAAACTCATCTTACGACTGAGCCTTGTTTATGCTAATCATCAAATTGGGCATTTAAGCAAACACAAAATACCTATCTAAGAGAGAAAACTACCAGCAACAAATTTTCTACTAGAATAATTAGACATACAGAGAAGAGGCGCGCCTGAAAGATTAAAGAACAGAAGAGGAGCCAGACTCCGGAAAAAGAGTTAAGGTTAAAGCTGCGACGGGGGAGCCTGACACCACCAACCGGAGTTCCACTGCCAGCCTACAGATTCGCAGCGGCTACTTTCACGAAGGAGGCGGAACGGTAGTTCAGGTGATGGCGAAGTCGGAACGGAAAAGGCGAACTAGAAGGGTATTGGTGAGCGAGCCTCTTTCGTTTTGGGTTATGCCGACCCACGTGAACTAGGCTTTTTTTTTATCTGTATATTTTTCATTTTTTTTTGTTTGAGTGAATTTTAGTTGTATTGTATAACTAGAAAGGTATTGGTGAGAGAGCCTCTTTCGTTTTGGATTATGCCGACCCACGTGAACTAGGCTTTTTTTTATCTGTATATTTTTCATTTTTTTTTTTTTGTTTGAGTGAATTTTAGTTGTATTGTAATTATTTTGTAAAAATTTGAGAAAATTACCTATTTGATATAAAAAATTATATATAAAAAATAAAACACAATGAAATTTGAAGTTTATAATGTAATTCAATTTGATTAAATAATGTAATTCAATTTGATCAAATATAAAATTTAGTTAATTTGGTTGAATTTAAATTATATCATTCATGTAAAAATGCTATAATAATTCACCATACCTCACTGCCCAATACTGCCCATCAACATCATTAGCCAGCACATGTTGTCACCGCCTCCTTATCACCATCATCACCATCACAGCAGCGGCTCACCGCTCAGCCGCCACGTTGTTTGTCATCCTCAACAAGCACCCGCCTCCACTGTCGCCTTCACTGCCCTCCATTTTGTTGATGTCGTCCGTCAGTTCGCCTCTATAGCTTGTCGCATCCCCGTTGTTGATCACCTGTCTGTCGTCATCATCAACACCTCAGTCATTGGTCCACCACACTGTCTATCGCTACTAGCCACCTACCGACCCCCTGTTGTTGTCGGACAAAAAAGTATATTTTAAAATGTATTATTTTCTATTTAGTTCAAATAAAAAAAACAATTATTATATATTTATTTGACACTGAACTAAACAACTCAAAATAATTTCAAATATATTGTAATATATTTTAAAATGTATTATTTTCTATTTAGTCCAAATAAAAAAAATAATTATTATATATTTATTTGACACTAAACTAAACAACTCAAAATAATTTCAAATATATTGTAATTATAATACTCAATAATTTATTTGCATTGCATTTTGTTTTCTACAAACCAAACTGCTCCTTCAAATGAAGCCTTAGGTTATGATTGGTTTGGTAGCTGCATTTTTTATTGAGTTGATGTAAGATGGTAAGCATTTTGTAGTATTCAATTGATCGGCTTAAAATTTATTAAAATCATTTCAAAGGAAATGGGAAATCTGAAATCCAAATAACCGGACAAACACAATTTTTATCGATGAATAATATATTCGATCTGAACAATTTGATTGTGAGCAGATGAAAATATAATTCTTAGTTGCATGTTGTTCATAAAATATATTAAAAATTACATATTTTACATGTGAAATATCAGTTTACTTCCATGAATTCTCCATTTATTCAAATTTCAATTTTTGGTTTAGTTAGTGTATACATAAAAAAGTGTAAAAATGGAACTTTAGGAGATCTGACGATGTACACAGAAAAAGACATGTCAAAGAAGAGTCTGCTGATACGAGACTCGGAGGCCTAATTGTACAATAAGATGTATCGAGACCAAGACCAACCAAGGCAACCAAACAACCCAAACCTGGATGGTTTGACAGAAAATGAAGCAAGAAGCATGAGGGGATCCAAGTCATTCCCTTCGTTCAAACCAACACATGGGAGAAGCCAATCCATCGATTTATGTAGTTTTATCGAAGACATTCAACAGTCTCCACGAACATTGCTAAGAGTCAATAAGACGGATCTCAGTCATCCCTTAGCATATTTCAGTACAAGGGGTACCTACCCATTGGATTACGGTAACTTACTCTCCACCTGATGGCTTAGATTTGCTTCTCTGCCATCAGTTCTTCATCAAAGATCGAGGGTTGACGACCAGACTTACCCATTGACAGTAAAAAAGGTTAATCAATCAATAACATCGCCTAGTCGACTGGCAGCCTCTACGGAACATGTTTGACCAACGTGCCTCACCAATTTAGCCAACCGTCGGTATTTATCAAGCTTAACTGACCAGCAGAGCCTACCAAGGTCTTGCCAGTGTCATTCGAGCCTCAGAGTTTCCTGGCTTTGAGCCCAAATATGTAAAATACTTATAATAACATGTCCAAACCTCACTAAGGCAGGGCCATAAATTTAATTTCACATATTATACTCATTTTCTCTATAAGAAGAGGATCATTATGTGAATAAAATATCACATACTTCTCTCAAATTATTAGTCATTGAGATGCACTTTCTTCTCTTTCTCTCTCTCTCACTTGTCATAATGTGATTCAAGGATTAATCAGGATATGACATCTTAAAAGGTGCAGTGAGTGTGGATTGTGAAAACAACAAGAAGAGATATATTACAGGGAGAAGAAAGTAACAAAAAATACTCCACCAATATGCAATGCACTAGGGAGTTTGTGTATAAACAAATCCAGTAGTTGAAGAATGAGATGATGAACGTCATCAAAGGCATATTAGCTCATAAAAGGGAGAAAAACCCCCTATAGGAAGCACCAATGACCAATAGTTAAAGGGTGCCTCTGCTTGATGATAGGATCAAAGATTCTATATACCTCAATAGTGTTGAGTCATCACCGATAGATAAACAACGGTTCAGACGAACCGAGGCACCTTGTCATCCAAAGAACGTGTTCTCTCAATAAATTTATGAAGTTGAGCCCATTAATATACTAAAAGTTCATGTTATGGAGTCCTACAAGGGTCAAAATGATTCGATCAACCTCACCGCCTCATTTGAATTGATCGTTTGTTTGCTGAGGATCACAGAGCTGTACTCCTTGGAGGCAACCCTCAGGTAGTTTAACAAATTGAAGACAAGAGTAATCATGTCATCTGAAGGCTTTAAGCAGGTGTTCATGAGGTAGCTTGCGAGCCACCAGAAGCCCAATAAGAGTTTACAAGCTTTATTGCAAATTAGACAAGGACAAAACAATAGTCTACACTCTCTCATCATCTTATTCTAGTAGAGTATATACTAGAGGTGCGCGATTCAAAACCCATAGCAGAATACTTCTCAAGCTCACTGCATGAAAGAAGGACCATTTTGATATGATATTTGCATATAACAAGCAAGGACCTTAGTTGGAATGTTTGAATTGGCCAACAATCATTTTACAGCCAATGAGCACAACTCTATGCTTGTTTTCAGCCAAGAAAAAACCATCAATATGTTGTCAACGAAAGAGGGCTCCCCAAGACAATAGGTGGGGTCGAGGAAAGACTCGTGTCCCCCCCTCCCTCCCTGCCCAATCCACAATATGAAGACAATTGACCATCCCGAGACGATAGAGGGGCCGACAAAAGCTATAAACAATGATGTCAAACTCGATACCCTAACCAACGGTCGGCTCTTTACAATGAGCACCCGTTGCACGATCACACAACACCAAAGGCAACTCTACTAAGATTCTTAATGGATGAGCTAGTGGAAGCCATCCAAAATAAAAAAAATATTTCAAGAAGGCACCTCAATAAGGATCAGAGCTTCTTTATGGGATGCTATGAAATAATGTGTTTGTCACAAAAACCACAACATGAAGGAATGTCAACACCTTTGAATTATAGTTGAAGAGTTGATCAGGGCTGGAAAGTTCAAAAAGTTATGGCTCTACGAGCAACAACTTAGAGGCAAGTGAAGGTCGACAGCGGTCGAGTGGGAGCCAGAGCTATTCACATCGCTAGTTGGTACCAACAATCTTTATTGGAGGTGAAAATTTGTCTTAACATGCTAGTCTAAGGAGGCTTCAGGCAAGAGAATTTTGTGCAGTTGCTTTTGCTCCAAATCATTGCAGTAATCCACCTATCACTTTCCCTGACGCATACATGCCCCCTAGATAAAATCATTACAACAATGATATCGTCATTACCTCATTGTTAAGCAACTAACAGGCCAGTAGCATTCAACAAGATTGGATTCAAAGATGAATGATTGATTATGTCAGTCAATGCTCTTTAAGGCTTCTCCAATGAAAGGAAGGAAGTCTTGGGGGTAATCACTCTGACAGTCACTTGGGGATAAGGTGACAAACATTTTAATTATATGGAGAATTTCTTGGTGATTGATTCTCACAACCAACCTACAACAACATATTTGCTCGACTTATACTCATTAAATTAAAAGTTGTGACTTCAGCATACCATGTAGTTGTTAAATTCTCAAGCGATGGAGAAAAACGATAATCGTTTGAGGCAGCATTGAGTAATCCAGGGATGGCCACCTCTGGGCGGCCGACAACGTCGAGCAAGAGCCGCTCAACCTCACTAACCTTCATGAAAGGGGTTTCAAGGCCAGAGAGACCACCCTCTAGATTCCCACGATCGAGGGAGAGCCTGATGATCTTTTCTTTATAAATGAAGCTTTTGATGTTGGGTTGAAAGATGTCTGATCCAAATTCTCAAGGAACACAAAGATGTTTTCCCCTGATCAGTCACAGAGAAGCTAGGGATATCAGCTGATGTTTTTTGTTGCCGACTGAACTTTAATCCTACCGTCGGACCGATGAAGCAAGAAAATGAGAGCAAAAGGTGTTACCCTAGTTGAGTGCGGTGGGAAACAATTTGGTGGAAATTTTTTAAGAGTTTGTGAAATATTAAGTGGGCAGGTGTCGCCTAGGGCCCCTGTTAAATTTGCAAAGTGTATGATTATAAAAATTTTAAAAATAACATTTTTTTTAAATTATTATCTTAATTAAATTAAATTACTGAAAAGGAACTTAATCACCACAACACGTGGGGATTTTTTGTTTATGTGTCTCCACATAGGCAAAACCGTTGTGTGGCGTGGTGATTCTTATTTACTTAAATTTTCCTAAATTTTTTTCCTCCCTCGCTCCCCAACTGCGCCCAATTTCTTCTTCCTTTTTCATGTTCACTTGTGAGTCAGTTGGTAGGGATTTGGAGTTACCCAACCTTAGGATGTTTTGTTGGTAGCTTCTACTCAATATTGGTTTATAGACTTTGATGCCTAGGTTGCCTGTGGGATTATGACGGATGAAAAGTCTAAAATCGAGCCCATCTTCAACTTAAATTCTTATACCT